GGGCTGAAATGGAAGGGCGGCCACCGATAAATTGAATTGGCGGCCTCTCTCGATTTTCGGGCCGGCATGCAGTGGCCGCGGCCGAAATATGGGAAAGGTACGGGTGGTTTAATGATGAAAAATCAACTGGGACCTCACCCCTGGAAACTGGTGGAGGTTTGCCAGCCTCTGCTGCAGCTGTATTCAAGTTGCTGGCCTCTTTCCATAGCTTCAAGATAAGTGCTGGTTAAGATCAATAGTGATTCCTATACATCCAGAGATTATCTCAATAGAGAATCCTTTCTTAGGATCAGGCACCACTGGTACTATGTAGAGATGATGTCAGCATGAACTCCTGAGGTGCTCGGAGCCAAGTGGCACAGTCTAAGGTAACAACACATCCACATGAGTAGTAGATGCCTAACACCATTAGCTCAGTATTGAAGAATAAGGTGTGAGAAATCACGTGCTCCCTTCCCCAGCATGATGGTTAGATACAGGGAGCTGCATCCCCACTTTCAAAATACACTAGCTATGCTCCAGCAGGGACTTGACAGAGAGGGCTAGGTGATGACTGCAGTCACAGTAGTGGGCTTCTGTTGTACACACTGACGACCTTCTCCTGCGGCCTTGCTCTTCCCATAGTGCACTTTCGACGCTCAGCAGCCTTCCTCGATGCAGTTCTGTGTATGGGACTCTGTGCCCTCAGGCAAACTGAGGATCAGTGGTGCCACGTGAATGAAGTAAGAACTGCCCACCAACTCCTGGGCTGGCCTCTCCTCTGGGCTGTTAGGTCTCACCAGGATCCAGCGGTCCGGATGAGAGGCCGTTCGAGTAACACTTAGGCCCAGGCCTGAAAAAATGTGGCCTGGGTCCCCACAGAAGTCCAGGGCCTACCATGCTTCCTGGCGCAACGTAGGACACAGGCCCAGCCTCAAAACGAGCTGGGCCAGAAACGTGAAACAGTACACACCAGAGATCTGGATAGGAGAAAAGTCCTGAAAGTCCATCCAGACCAGGCAAAATAGACTGANGAGAGAGAGAGAGAGAGAGAGAGAGAGAGAGAGAGAGAGAGAGAGAGAGAGAGAGAGAGAGAGAGAGAGAGAGAGAACAGGTAAGTCTCCAATCTTGCGGCTGACCTCATCGTACTTCCATCGATAGGATAAGCAAAATGGAACGAATCTACCACTATCACTTGGAAATCTACAATGCCACACACGTGTGTGTGTGTGCATGGGCGTGTGTGTGTGTGTGTGTGCGTGTGCGGGTGCGGGTGCGCGCGCGCGTGTGTGTGTGTGCGTGAGAGAGAGAGAGAAAATTATTGTGGATGCCCTCATGGTACTTCCATGGATAGGATGTCCAAAATCAAATGAATCTAACGCTAGAACATGGAAATATACATTGCCACACGTCTGCGTGTGTGCGTGTGCGTATGAGAGAGAGAGAGAGAGCGAGAGAGAGAGAGAGAGAGAGAGAGAGAGAGAGAGAGAGAGAGAGAGAGAGAGAGAGAGAGAGATTTGCAACTAATTGGCCCAGGCCGATTCTCCAGAAACAAATGTAGAGAGAATGGTTTCGAGGCTGGTCTGGGGGTTGTGATGTTCTCCCGCATCATTAACGGAAGTAGACTCGCACCGCTGCACTTGGTCCGACTGTCATCCAGGCGGCTGCAGGGAGGAGAAACACGCAAGAACTGAGATGAGCACCTATGGCGACCTACTCCAGCTGGGTTTCTCCTGGACGCATCTTCTCCCAATGATTTCTGGGCCCGAGTCCCACTTCTTTGCCCGCATTCATTTCTAGCCGTTCATCTCTGTAACCTAGGGTCAGGAAGGAAGGATCCGGGGACGTAGGAGCTCCTCCCTCCCCCGAATAAGTCCAAACTGTTGTTTCGTGCGTGAATGCTGCTGTGGGACTTTCTCTTTCGGGAAATGTGGGGATGTAATCAAGGTAAAGTTTCAGCTTTAGTTCCCTATCTTCTTGTTGCTCATGAGCTCTACTTGATCGTTTCTCGATTCATGACACGTGTCATTGGCTGCGCAGGGGCCATGCTAGTCTCCTCTCGTTATCGTTCCAATTCTCCCGGATGTGTCGAAGGGCAGGAATAGTGCCGTTTGATTTCCAATGGTGATTCATTTGCCCGGCCATTATTTTTCGGCATCGAATCTCTACGCGAGCTCTCGAACTCTTTACTACCGTAGTTGAATCTGTGATGAAATAGTGACTCTCTGTTCTGGAAGATATAGACTGGATTGGAGCGATCAACTGTGCAAGATCTCAAGCGGGTCATGCTGCACTTGTCATCCCCGAAATTCCAGGCTTGCTGCTAAGATGTTTCAGCAGGGAGGAAAACAAAAGGAAAAAAAAAGAAGAAGAAGAACTGTCGATGAAATCTTCCGCCGCTACTCCAAATCGCGCCGAACTGGGGTTCCGCTCGTTCCTCACAGAAATAGGGCGTCACCCGTGAGCTGATTTTTTTTTTTTTTTTTTTTTTCCCCCCCAGGCCTTTACCATGGCCCGTGCAATTTTGTTCATTAAGGGTGGGTCGTAAGAGCAGCACTCTTCACCAACGGGCCTGGCTCAGTCAGTACACCTATGAGCTGTTGAGTACATCGAATCCAGCTGCAACTAGATGAATGAATTTTAGTGAAATAAAAATAATTGTAAATTAGCTGGTGCCGTTCAGTTTACTCGAGGCCCTCGCCCTTCCTTCCCAAAAATGATAAGAAAGAAAAAGAAAAAAAGCAGCAGCAGCACTGTTAAGTCTGCCGAAGAGGGTGGCGAGCTGCCTCTGCTGGAGACGGGGTCTAGCGTCTCCTCCCTTAACGACTGACGGACATCATGTTTTTATTCCGGGGCGTGAGCGGCACTGATTGCCCCCCCAACCCCTTTTCGGGAAAGGAATTACTGTCCGCCAGTTTGGTGGCGCCACGTGGCGGCCCTATGTCCTTCCGTGCGCTTTCGTTCCTTCGTCTTAATAACGTGCGTGACGTGGGTTCGGGGTTCACCTGAACCTGGACCACCAAGCGGGAGACGAGGTGGCGACAAGAGGGAGAGAGAGGGAGACCAGGCGGCGACGAGAGGGAGACGAGAGGGAGACGAGAGGGAGATGAAGTCATGTCCCACCAGCACGATGCAACGGGCGGGAAAAGGGAAATGAATGAATGGATGAAGGAAGGAAGGAATGAATGAATGACGAGTGAGGGATCTGTTTTTCATTTCACTGGAAAAGGACGAGATATTATATTTCTCCAAGTAGTAAGAATCGGCGAGTACTAATAATAGATAGGTCCGAAGTAAATGATCGGTGAAAGGCTATTGATTGGCACAAATCAACTGGTGGGTGCAAAGTAATCGATCAGTGGAAAAAAAATGAGTTGATCAAATAACTGATCAGAATTAGTTATCTGTGCATGAACCAATGCAAACAGGAGGAGCGATTGCGTATCACGGTCCGCCCAATCAGCACTAGTTGATCTGTGAAAAATGAATTGATCGATTTCGAATCAATCGACCAATGCAAATTAATTGACAAATGACAGTTAATTAATTGAGCGGTGTAAGTTGATCGATCCATGTTCCAGGTCAGCGGTCTCAGACTAATCCATAATAATAAACAGTCCATCCGGATCCAGACTTGCAAAATTAGATTGGATGAGACCAATCGGTCGATTTTCAATCCATTGATCCATCGAATGTGGTTGTCAATCAAGATGGATCCAAATAGATAGATAGGTTGATCGCTGCTGGATTATTCAAGAGGCATGGTTGTTTTTTTTTGTTTTTTTTTTTGTTTTTTTTTTTTTAATTAATAACAGTAATGACAGTAAGGCACTCGAAGTGATGTGCGTACCCTATGCAGACAGCCAGGTGCTGGGCATGCACCTCGCTGTACTGTAAAGGCAGACACGCTCTCAATGGCCTATTTGAGGCAATACGTTCCCACCAGGGTGGTCTATCTTTTGTGTCATCTCCCCAATGATGATCCATTATTATTACTGTAAGGGAGGGAGTGAAGGAGGGATTCATCCATTCCCGATATATTCTGTTTCCAACCCAGATCCATGAACCGGTCCCGATTCCAGTCCTGATCCATTGATTCATCCAGACTCAAATTCGGAGCCATTTATCGATCTATGAAGGAAGGATAACTGCTGCCGTTTGCCAAAGTATAGTAAGCTCTATATTAGAAGAAGAAAAAGAAAAAAAAAAAGCACAAAACCCAGAGTCAGTGCCAGTCCTTAGGGATTTTCAATTTGTACTTTGGCAAGATCTTGAAGTGTGGTGGCCATTTTTTTTTCATTTTCACTCACATTTGGTGACGGGTGCGGCGAGGGCAGGAACAGGAAAGTGTGGAATTCATAAGTGTGGGAGAGGGGAGAGATGGTAAGTGTCAGACAAGATCTTAAACTTTACGCTTACTATTTTCCTTCCTTTTTTTGGAAAGGCAGCACGTTGGAGTCACACCCAACGTCGTTCAGAATATTAGTCTGAGTACGCAGCTTGAGCAAATTAGCAGTTCCCGAAATGGTGAGCCCAAAAAAAAAGGCGACTGTAAATCTGCTTCTGGTCGGCTTTCTGTATTGCAGGAGGTAATTGATAGGAGCTCCACGACTTCAACCTTTCGAGAGAGAATCGCCTGGATGTAGGTACTGTGGGCTTATTCCCCCCCTGTGTGATTTTTCAGAGAGGGGCTTCAACTTGATGAAAGAAAGAAAGGGGAGGTGAGATTGCGAGAGATTGCGAAAGGGCAAAGGCCAGTGAGGGTGTGAGCCTGTGACTTGGTGTGAGTATGCGAGTGACATGGAGAGAGAGCTCGTATTGGCCGTACAATGAACTTCTTTACAGTATTTACATGGGGAGAGTGTGTGTGCTTTAGGGCCAAACAAAGTAGCTTCCTTCGGCCTTCTAAGAGCACAGCCACTGCTCGTAGCGGAAAACAATGCAACAGTCAATGCACTCACAAAAGGGCACTTCCTCGGGGTGGCCATCTCCACAGTTATCTGCACAGAAATGTTAAGCGGGGCCAAACAACGCTTTTCACAACTGCTGAGGTGTATTATGCTTTCTGACTACCACCTTGGAATTTTCAAGTTTCGAGTTCTTATTCTATGAGTTAAAAGAAATTGGCGCTTTTGGAAAAGTAGAAGCAAACCCATTGTGAGGAGGCCATTGGAGAGTGCAGGGCAGGTAGGAAAATACAGCAGCAGCACCGAGGGGGAGAGAATTGCAAAACAAGAAGCATGGCTGATGGTCATGGAGAAGGGAAGGTGCAACTGCTGCCCCACTTCAGGAGAAAAGGACAAGACATTTTGCCAGGTGGTCGTCGTATATGGCTGTGGATCAATTTGCATCCTCGTGAGCCGTGGCTCATATTCACACCCGATCGCAAATCGCTTCTTCAAGTGTGGAACTATGAAGATGGGAAACAGGTTGCCTCCTGGGTAGTCCCTGGCGGTGTGGATGATGTTCGCGAAGCTGGATTCATCCCCCAGAGAGAGAATTGGATTGTGGTGAGGCGCTGGACAATATATGAAGTGTATGAATGCCAAGGCTCCAACTTGCGGCGCCTAACGCAACTGCAATTTGATGACATCTTCACACATGGGATGGCTGTCCATCAGAGCCTCCCTTGCCTTTTGGCAGGTTTCTGCCACAAGGACTTTTTTCTGTGGTGCTGGAGAGGCAAATGGGAGAAGATAAAGTTTGAAGGTCATGATATACATACAACTGAATTGGTGTTTCATCCAACTGAGACACAGATCTTTGCAAGTGCCTCATCGGATAACACCATCACAGTGTGGAATTTGGAGAAAAGGTCCATTATTCAAACCATGAGCGATGATGGTAAAGCGGGTATTCGCGGGATGGGATTCTGTGGCAGAGGGGAGAAGTCCCTTCTGATCACATCCCACTGGGTAGACGAGAATGTACGGGTGTGGGACTACAAGAAGGGCACTTGCATATGGCAATGGAAAGCACACGACAAAGAAATCAGGGCGTCCTTCTTCCATCCGCATTTGCCGTATATAATGACTGCAGCAGAGGATGGAGAGATTAGAGTTTGGAGTGAGTCAAGCTACCAGCAAGTGTCCTCCTTTTCGTGTAAGCGCGATGACGATGCTTGGGTGCTCACCAATATGATCCCAAGTAAAATTTCTAATAAGCTCATTCTTGCGGGTCATGGTGAGTTCCGTGTCATGGAGGTGGGAACAGGGGAGGAAGACAAGAACAACGAACAGCGAAAGCAAAAGGAGTCTCCTTGTGCAAAAAAAGACGTTCAAGCTTCCTCTTCTTCATCAATTATGGCAGTTGTGGTCAATGAACCGGCAGTGGTATCAAGAAAGCCAATGGAAGAGATTGAACACAAGGTGTCAGTCACCACCAAGCTGCATTTTGAAGAGAAAATTAAGGAAGTGGTAGGAATGGTTGAGCAGAACTGCAAAAAAGCAGTTGAGGCAGTGATGGCAGAGCATCGGACAAAGGAGAGAATCCAAGCGGAGAGAGTGCAAGAACTGGAGAAAGAGATGCAAATAATGAAAAAGACATTTGAAAAGTCCAAACTGAGGATTCAGGAGGCGGAGAGACGAGCAGGGAGAGTGCAACGGATGGAGGAAGAGATGCAAACAATGAGAGGGATAATTGAACAGTCCACACTGAGGATTCAGGAGGTGGAGAGACAAGCGCAAAGGCTACAGCAGCTGGAGAAAGAGATGCAAACAATGACAGAGAGATTTGAAAAGTCCAAACTGAGGATTCAACAGCTAGAGAGAACACTGGCTGATGAGATCAGTGGGCGCAAGGCAGAAGAAGAATGCAAAGCACGTTTAGCTGAACGGATCTGCGAGCTAGAAAACAAATTCGCAGAAGCGGTCGCCAAACGTGAAAGGGCGGAGGCCGCATCTCTAACACTCGCGTCTGATGTTTCCACTGCCGACCCTCATATGTTAAAGGAGTACTCCTTCAAAGAGCTCCAAGAAGCAACTGATAATTTTGACGTGAAGCGGAAGTTTGGAGGCAGGGAACAGTTTGAAAATACTTACCTAGGGACACTACGAGATGGTAGTCTTGTTACGGTGAGAAAGGTGAGAGATGCACAGGCACAGCTTGGGACAGACCTTGTGGACAGGGTGAGAACACTCCGCCATCCCCATCTTCTGACCTTGTTAGGAGTCTGCTATGAAGAGAGCTGCCTGGTTTACGAGCACATGGAGTGTGGGAGCTTAAAGGACTGGATCTCACATCATGATGAAGAAAATGCAGCAAGAGGGTTCCTGCCATGGTATGCCCGCTTTCGCGTAATGGCTGAGGTTGCCCGGGCACTGTGCTTCCTGCACTCGGTTCCATCTGCATCGGGTGGTCCCATCATACATGGGGCTATCAAGCCAGCAAACATTTTGCTGTCTGACAGCTTTGTGGCAAAGATCTGCGGTGTGGACGAGGCGATTCTTGACGCAGACTCTGCTGGAGAGGTTGGTAAGAGGGGGACTCCCTTGCTTGTATCCACCACAGACAACAACTCCCACTACATTGCGCCAGAGTATTTGCATCAACGATTTCTTGGTGTCACTGAAAAGATGGACATCTATGCATTTGGTATCACCATCCTGGGGATGCTGACTGGAAATCTCTTGAATTCGTTTGAAATTATTGAAGACGCAATTGAGGATGACGCAGATTTCAAGAACGCTCTGGACGCCAATGCAGGCTGTTGGGATGTTCACCTGGCTCAGGAAGTCGCAAAGTTGGGGTTGCGATGTGCTAGTTTCAACAGGCGCAGACGACCAAACATGATGGAACCAGATGTAGGAATTCTGGCAATACTTGAGGGAGTTGCAAGGAAGGTTGACCTTGCACAGTCTGCAGAGAACGGATAGACAAATTCTGGAGCTGGTCTCTCAGCTACATGGTAGGGGTGCTCACAGCCCAGGTAGAGAAGGTCCGCCTTAAGTGAATCAGCGGAAGTCAAACTGTGAACTTGATGTTGCTGATGTCGTATGTTACCTTCATTGATGAGAGGTGGCCATCGAACAAGCAACAAAATGAAGCGTCTGTCGCGTTGAGAACTTACTTGTAAGCGATTATAGAGGCGAACACTGTAAAGAAAAATTAACACAAGTACAGGCATGTGTGGTAGGATAATCTTCTCCAGAACCCAGGGGCTTATGGCCTATTTTAGCATAGCCACACACAAAAAGCCTCTCATAATATGTTTGAAATTCCCTCCCTGCTGTTTGAAATCACAGCTTGATGTCCGTGGAGATTGATGAGCACACATGAAAATGCCGATCTGATCTGATTTGGTAAGCCAGGTTCTTGTTTCCAGCTTGCTTGAGCTTGATGGGTTCAAATGAAAATGACCATTAATGATTTGGATTTCATACCAGGATCTGTAACGGTCCTCTCACTCTCACTCGATCATAAAGTATGGGGTCGGAATTATAGTCATATTGCTTGAGCAGCAATTAATTCTGATAAGTGTCACAAGGGAACGATGTAGTACACCAGGATCACGTACTGAGGATTCTGATCTTAAATTGAAGCTTATACTGATCAGAGAAGAATTGCTCTGGCTGCTTTGCACGACCGTCTTTTTGTAAGGCAATGATCTGTTTTTTTCTTGGCTTTGCAAAATTTATGTGGAACAGTTTTTATATATGCGTGTCATGATTGCACTGTCATCCTTGCCCAAGGACTGTGGTACTTCGTATTGCTCCAACATCCAAGTGCAGCAGATGCCCCGGACGAAGGCAGCAACTCTTGGATAGTAGAGCGTTCAGATATGTAATTGGAACTTGCATTCACATCAAAGCTTCCAAAACTATTCAACATGGTTTCTGGCAGGTCAATGTTACATGGATTGTCTACTGCTTACTGTCTGATTAGCGATGAGAAAACTATGTTGCCTTCTCTCTCTCTCTCTCTCTCTCTCTCTCTCTCTCTCTCTCTCTCTCTCTCTCTCTCTCTCTCTCTCTCTCTCTCTCTCTCTCTCTGTGCGTGTGCGTGTGTGTGCGTGTGTGTTTGTGTGTGTGTGTGTGTGTGTGTGTGTGTGTGTGTGTGTGTGTGTGTGTGGAAAGAAAACATGTAAATGGAAAGAAGATGTTATAATTGTCGGCGTGGAAAAGCAATGGTGATGGATGGATGCCTCGTTCCGACAATAATTCAGCAGGACGTCTAAACAAAAACAAAATTCGCTGCGTAATAGGGTCGTATCATTCTTAAATTCTTAGTACTTTTTATCTTTAGTGTAACAGTATATTAAAAACTCTGAAAATATCCAAATTGATTTTGTGTTCATCAGCTCTCTGCTACTTGACAAACAAGGAACTGGGAGTCATGCAACTAGTCCGCTATTTGGTCCTTTTTCATCTATTAAAATTGGAACGATGAACAGAAATGTAGCATAGCCCTGTGCCATCAAGGATGACACATAAATAGAAAGGGAAGAGAACAGGAGGAAGAATGGCGGGCCCCCGGGCCCATTTACACTGGATCCCATTTCGAATGGACAGTGGGGCGAAAATAGAGAGTAGGTGGAGAGTTGCCAGACTCTTGAAAAAATGCTTTTTGAAGTCGCCGCTCCACCTGCTCTCTATTTCGGTGCCCTCCAACAATTCTCCGTTCCTCTGCTCACATGAAGACCAATAAACATATTGCCAGTTCAGTTCCAATGTGTCGGCCGACTCTCCAAAACAGATGCTGCTCCAGAGGACTCTATTTTCGAGGGTGCGTAGGCAGAGGACTCTCCAAAAGTAGAGAGTCGTCTGTAAGGAATCTTCCTGATCACTCTGGATTTGTTTGGGAAAAGTTGTTTATCCCCCGGCGACAAGAAGTGGGAAAAGTTGTAAATCCCCCGGCGACAAGAAGAGTCATATGCCCCCAAACGAGGCAAGAAGTAGGGTGTGCTAGAGGCACCAAAATGACTTTTTGTGTCATTTTTGCACCCTGGCCGACCCGCTGTGCAAAAATAGCGGGAAAGTGTAACCACCGGTGCAAAAGTGACATGAAAAGTAATTTTGGGGCCTGCCGCACTTTTTTTTTGCGCCGTTTTGGGGCAAATAAATACGAATGTTTTGTTTTTGGGTGGGGGGGGATTTATATCTTCTCCCTTGGTTCTCCGGAGCTGCAAATGGAGAGTTCATAGAGCAGACAGAGCCTCACTCACATAGAACGGAGAGTGGAGGAGTGAGACCTGCTGTTGACAATGTGTATTTGGGTGGCACTGTAGTCACAGTGTGGAAGTGTAGTCACAGTGTAGTAGTGTCACTGTCAATATACAACTGGCACGAACCCTTTGATTGTTTTCTTTTGGCCATTCCCTGGCCACCCTGTACTAGCCTTCCTTTTTTTTTGGGTCCTGCTATTTTCATGAAATAGTTTATTTTCTTTTTCCTTGGAAAAAGTCAGATAAAAAGATAGGAACGATGGTCATCGTCTCCCAAGTCTAACGAAAATTAAATTCCGTAAATTTCGTAGCTCCATATGCAGCAAAATTTGTGACGCAAAATCCTATTTTTATGGTTGAGGGGGCACTGTGTAGCCCGGGAGCCATCCACAAATCTTGTGATTTTGCTAAACAAGGTCCTTGTGTAACTGTGCCCTCATTCTTCGTTTTGGATGAATGGACGACGAGAGACCGTGTACTCATTTCTTGACAGTGCAGCCACTGCGAGGCTTTCTGGAAGCCCGGACTCGGCAGTAATCCAAAAACAGTTATGGGAAAGTTCCACTTGGGAGGGAAGATTTGGGCAGGACTATCCAGAGGCCTAGCTCAGTTGGTAAGGCACGCAAGTGGCATTCAGGAGGTCTTGGGTTCAATCCCCATTAGCCGCATGTACCTTCCTTGGGCAAGCTTGGCTCCCGCCACCTAGAGATATGCTGTTGGTCCCCCTCAGTGGCATTGAGCAGAGACTGCTGATTTTCATTTCATAGGGGGAGGGGACCGGAGGGGAGGCACGGTGACTGGCCCATCAAAGCAACTCGGTCCTGATGCTACTAGGCTGACCCGTAGCCCGTATCGCCCACCTGCTATAGCAGGTATCGCACCTGCCAGTGGCCGGCGGTGGGTGCAGCTCCCGCACGTTCCCTCATTGGAGGCTTGAGCACGGGCGTGGCTGCTACGGTGTTCCCCATAATACTAAAATGACAATAAAAAAAGGCCTGAAAAGCCATCCTGTCCAGATTTGACAGGTAATTGAATTKGTTGGGCTTCAAGAATTAGCCTTAAATTAAAAAAAAAAAAAAAAAAAGGGCAGGACTTTAGAAGAGTAACCTACATTCATTGGTCTCGCTCCACTACACTAGACTCACGAAAAACTTTGTGAGTGCTTCTAGAGCTGTCAGAGGCTAGAACTCTTGAAAAAGAAGCATCGCTCCACTTACTCCCGAACGCAGGAACTATAGAAGCACTCACGAATTTCTGAGCGCTACATGACAGCCCTTCTACAGCGCTAGATGACAGCGCCCGCTCGTTCTGATGGTCGGGCCAGGAGCCACACTCGCTGCAAAAGAGGCCAGAGCGGGGGTGAGGGAGGACGCTAGAAAACCTGAGCGTTAAACGCTGTGAACTCTATACAAATCGAGAGTGCCCTTCGAGAGAGAGCGCTTTATGACAGCTGTAGAAGTGTGTAACAGTTGTCATGAGTTCCAGTCTAGAGTAAGTGGAGCAAGGCGTTACTCTCAAAACTTTGGGAGTCTAGAGTAGTGGAGGGAGGCCCCATATCTCCTCAGCGGTGGCTGGTTGGACTGCGCAAAAAGAGGTAAAATAGAAGTAGTACTTTTTCTGCCCTTTCTGAAGTCGGCCCTCGGCCCACCCTTGCCTTTTAATTATGACAGCCATGCATGTTACAAACTACGGTGGCTCTTTATTGCCTTTCAAACTTAGCGCATGACTGATATGCCAGTAGGTGCATTTTTGTTTTTTGCCTATTCGAAAGTAACTGGGGTTTTCGTTCCAGGCGTAGTAGTTGGGGTTAAAAGAGAAATTTGTGCCTGTAGTTGACAGTGCTCCAGGCATGCTGTTTTTGTTTTCGTTTGTTTTTGTTTTGTTTTGTTTTTGTTTTGTTTTGTTTTGTTTTGTTTTGTTTTGCTTTGGAATGCATAATCATTTATTGCATACCCTTGCGTGCATCAGTTAAAATTGGAACAATAATCCAGTGGTAAGTCTCGCAAAGTGGCATTCAGGAGGTAGTGGGTTCAATCCCCCCACGATTGGCCTCAGATACCTTTCTGGGCATGCTTGGCGCCCGCCACCTGGAGATGGACCACTGGATCCCCCTATCTGCATTGAGCAGAGTCTGCTGATGTTCCTAGGGGAGGGGACCTGAGGGGAGGCACAGGGATTGGTCCTGTCCCTGATGCTACCCGCTGCCCCCTAGCCGGTATGCCCACCTGCAGGTCGGGAGCAGCCCTCGCATAGCCGTTCTGGCTGCTAGGGGGTTAGGCCCTACTATGCCTACTATTAGGAGTAGTGATAGGTAAGGTACTGTGAGTCTGTGAGGTGAAATTGAGAGAATAATATAGCTTTTTAAATTAAAAAATAAAATAAAAAACTGGAACAATACAGACTCAGAAGATAAGCATGCAAAACAGACAAGTTTGGCAATGGCCCCTGTGCAAGGAGTGGCACGCATAGTATTACTTTTAGGGTCTCGTTAGACACTCCTAAAAATGCCTGTTTTTAGGATTGCATCGTGGTTGCACGCATTCCTAAGTCCGATTTTGAGATCGAAAATGTGAAAACGGCATTAGGACTTGTCCTAAAGAATTTAGGATTCCCCAGGCAAATTTTCCTTAATTTTTTACTTGCCCCCGACCTACTGAAATTTTTAGGAAGCCGTGTTTGACGGAGTCGTGGCGTCGCGCGCATGGCACCGTCGTCTCGGACTCTGTGGTGCAGAAACCGTCGGGCCAGGAGTCGGACATCGGAGGCCTTCGGCGGGCCGACGGAGGCGACAACCACCACCGGTAGCCGTTGGCGGGCGGGGTGGACCGTGGAGGGCGAGCGGGGGCGCCCTGTCGTGCGTAATCGACCGCTGGCTTCGATGCGAAACGCAG